GCAGGGTGATCCACTCCTGGTTTATCAGTGCTGGAAACAGGACCCCCACTGCATGGCAGGGTGATCCACTCCTGGTTTATCAGTGCTGGAAACAGAACCCCTATTGCATCCCGCTGTGTGATTCACTCCTAGTTTAACAATGCTAGAGAGAGGACCCCCACTGCTTTGCAGGGTGATCCACTCCTAGTTTAACAGTGCTGGAAACAGGATCCCACTGCACAGCAGGCTAATCCACCCCAGGTCTTTCTTTGTATTCAGTAAAACTCCCATTGCACAGCATTCAAATCCATTCCAGGTCTTTTTTTTTGTGTGTTCCACCAAACTCCCATTGCACAGCGGTTTGCTCCCAGTTTTTCTGTGTTTTCGATCAAACTCCCGGTGCACAGCTCCATCACGTGTCTGACAAACTGCAAGCTCGTTCAGAGCCCCTCCAGTCTCTCATCGTGCAGATGTGGAAGCAATACAGGAACCAGACAATAACACTTTTTCACCAAAAGGGTTTCCATAACATTATTCATGCAAATCTGCTACCTACCTGTGACTTTTTCTTTTTAAAGCTTAGCAGTTTGCACTCTCTTTTGCACCTGCTGCAAGCTAATAGCCCAGCTGGGCTAAGACACCTGTGAATGAAGTTCATTAGAAAACACAGGTGTGAAGAGTGTCAAATTGTGAGGGTTTTTTTAATCTGACTGAACCAAAAAAAGATCCACCCCCCAGACACCTCGTTAAGCACAGAATAAAGACTTTGTAATTAAAAGGGGGAGACGAGTACGGCCTTAACGAGGCGACTGTGTGCTGCAGGAATTCCTGTGCTTGTTAGAGAGCAGCACCGAGGAAGAGCAGGAGTGTGGAGTGTGTGAGTGGAGTGTGAGGGAAACTCAGGGGGGAGAGAGGAGCCAGAATGACCCTGAACACATTCCCATCAGCCTCCGGCTCACCAGGCCGATTACTAAGGTGCTCCTCAATCCCAGGAGGACAGCCGGATGTTTTCCTGCAGCATCTTCCACAACATGGCTGGGGCCGCTTGTTCCACACTCCCACCACCCTTAGTGTAAAGTAAAGACTTACTCCTGTCCTGACGGGAGCATCTCATCCAGCTGTTTCACCGAATGAGCTTGTGTATTTTTAACACCTGGCTGGGCATGGCCGGGGCAGTTTGTTCCACACTCCCACCACCCTCAGTGTAAAGACATACTCCTGTCCTGACAGGAGAATCTCAGCTTGATGTTTCTCCAAATAAGCTTGTGTATTTTTAACAACATGGCCGAGCAGCTTGTTCCATACTCCTACCACCCTTAGTGCCTGCTGTCTTGACATCCAGCTGTTTCTTGAGAGAAACCAGGGTATCGGCTTCAACAACACAGCTGGGCAGCTTGTTCCACCCCCCCACCGCCTTTTGTGTAAAGAACAGCCTCCTGTCCTGATTGAAGAATCTCATCCAACTGTTTCCCTGAAGAAAGCTAGTGCATTTTCAATAACAGGGCTGGGAAACATATTTCACACTCCCACCGCCCTTAGTGTAAAAACATATTCCCGTCCTGAGGCCAGAGTACAGGTCTCAATGACATGGCTGGGCGCCTTGTTCCACACTCCCACCACCCTCTGTGTAAAGGACAAAACGTTGCCACTGCTTTCATGGGGTGTGTGTGTGTGTGTGTAGGGGGGGGGGGTTGGTTCATCATACGTGATGTCGCGTTGCCTGTTTTATCGCTGTGTTTTCTTTACCATCTCTTCACGCCACCTCCATCCCCACACCCACCCACTGGCGCCATTTCACGCCCCTCCTGGCCTCCCCCATCACCCTGCACGCACACCGCTCTCCACCCATCTGCACGGGAAGACGCGGACGCAGAAGACCCGCCAGGTACCACGTCCGGCTGCCTGCCCGTCCCTCCGTCGCGGGTTCGAGCCCTGTCTGTCCGTTTGTGCGCCTCGTCTCTCCAGCTGTGGTGTGTGTGCGCGCGCTCCGGGGGGTGGGGGGAGAGAGAGCTCCCCCTGGTGGTCGGGACGGAGGGGCGCGTGCTGCCCTGGTCCGGGCAGTCCCGGGTGCTGTGATCATCTGGCGTGCCCGTACCCCGGGGGTACGACCCAGACCCTGAGCACGTTGTTCCCCACCCCCACCACCCTTTGTGTAAAGACCTGCCTCTAGTTCCCAGTTCCCGGGGGATGTGGAGTGGTTTCCGATCTGCGGGGGTTAGCGAGCTGGTGGAAACCGTGCCACCGGGCAGGCAGGCCTCCTCTCGGCCCGTCCTGTGAGCTTCCAGCTCGCTGGGGGGGGGAGGAGGGACGGGGTGTCTGAAATCGGCCGCTGGGTTTAAATCGCAGGACGGGAGAGAGAAGCCCTATCTCACGCTCCTGACGATCGAAAAGGAGGGGAGGGGGGGTCCCCCCACACACGCAGGCCCGAGCAGGGCTGACTGGAGTGTCTCACCCAGATTGTCCTGAGAGAAGGCAGGGTGTCGGCTTCAAAAACAAGGCTGAGCAGCTCGTTCCACACTCCCACCACCCTCTGTGTAAAGAAGTGCCCCCCCCCACCACCACCACCACCGGCCTCCCACCCAAATTGAAGCATCTCATCCAGCTGTGTCTTAAGAGACGCCAGGGTTTTGGCTTCAACAACAGGGCCGAGCAGCTTGTTCCCCACCCCCACCACCCTTTGTGTAAAGACCTACCTCTAGTGATCCGCCCTGGGTCCGTTTTTTGCGGTGCGCCTGAGTGCCCAGTTTCCCTCAGCCGAAGGAGAGCTGTGGTTGAGGCCACTCCGATGACCAAGGGCACAAAACGCACAGCAGGCAGCTAATAATCACTAGCTTGTTCACTGCCTGCAGAACTTAAGAACGCTAGCAAACGAGAGGAGCCCGTTCAGCCATTTGGTAATCGGTAGCCAGTTTGCCCCAAGATCTACAGCTGTCTGCCTTAAGAGCACCCAGGGCATAGTTTCAGCTGCGAGGGATGAGGCAGCTTGTTCCACACTCCCACCACCTTGTGTGTAAAGAAGCACCTCCTGTCCAGACTGAAGGATCTCATCCAGCTGTGTCTCAGGAGAAGCTAGTATATTTTCAACATTGTGGCCGAGACAGCTTGTTTCACACTCCCACCACCCTTAGTGTAAAGACATACTGCTTTCCTAACCGGCGAATCTCATACAGATGTTTCTCAGAAGACGCTCGTATATCTTCAACAACATGGCTGGACAGCCTGTCCCACACTCCCACCAGCCTCTGTGTAAAGACGTGCTTCTGTCCTGACTGGAGGATCTCATCCAGGGCATCAACCATGTAACTGGCCAGCTTGCTGCACACTCCCACCACCCTTTGTGTACAGTAGTGCCCTCTGTGCTTGGTTCTGAATGTGCTATTTGCCTGCCGTGATGTCCACCCGAGCCAACGGCGTGCTCCATCGATCTCCGCTGTGCGGGAGTTGGCGCAGAACGTGTTCCTCACGCATGCTGTGAACCAGTCCACTAACCTGCGGCGTGCCCTTCTCTCCCCCCGTCAGACCCCACGGCCATGTCCACGTCCTCGGGGATCGACCACGCGGTGATCGGCGGGGTGGTGGCGGTGATCGTCTTCATCCTGCTGTGCCTGCTGATCGTGCTGGGCCGGTACCTCATTCGGC